TCCCTTCCCTGCCCACTCGCACGAAAGGAAGGAGGAGCTATGCGGACGATTGACTGTGAATTCTCCCACTTCGCGGTGCACCCCGGCCACGGCCGCCGCTACGTGCCCTTCGCGTTCCTGTCGACGAAGCCCGTCCTGACGTTCGCCCGCCCCAAGTGCTTTGCCATGTACATGCGCAAGAAGAACCCGCGCTTTGTCCCGTGGACCCGCACCTACCGCCGCATCCACCGCAAGCTGAAGGTTGACCGCGTCGGTCGTCGCCGCGCCGCCCGTGCCGTGAAGACGGAGCGCGGCATCGTTGGCGCCGACCTTTCCTACATTCAGGAGGTGCGGGCCAAGACGAAGAAGGTTGACCGCTCCGCCAAGGGCAAGGCCGTCCGCGCGGAGATGGCTGAGCGCAAGGCTGCGAAGAAGTGATGTCTCTGCTAGCTTCTCTCGGTTGTTTTGTTTCATACTTTTCAATTACTTTTGGCCATCCGGTGCAACGCGCAACGTCGCGTATGTGAGAGGCCCACCTCTTAGCTTTCCCCATATTTCCCTGAGTGTGTGGCTGTGCTACGTTGTTTGTATTCGTTCTTCCTGTTCCATCCTCAATGAGACGTTTTTTCTTTTTCTTTTTCCTGTTATGCGTGGCCTTTGGTCTTGCCTCTCTTTTCTCTGTTGGGTGGAGTTTTGGTGGCGGCGGATGCCTCTTGCCGATGGCATGCAGGTGGTGAGATGGAATTTGGTCGTCTCCGTTCTTGCGCTGGGCATCTCCTTTGTCGCGGTGAATGTGTACTTGACGGCAGAGCACAAGCTCTCCTTTGAAGAGCCTGAGGCACGTGTGCCGTACTTTGCCAGAGCTTCCGGGGTGCATCTTGTGACCCTGCCGTCTCCCCTAAACGACCTCACGCTGCTTGCGGCAAACCCCTTCGGGGCGGCTGACGTGGCCCATAAAATGATGCGCTTCTTTACAAAAAATGTGACAACGGCCTGCTCAGGCGGAAAAAATGGTTCAACAGGATTCCGCAGCGAGAGTGTGATCATGGCGGAGCTGCTGAGTTCCGCCCCCGCGTCCCCTGGTGGGGTGGCAAAGCTGCTTCATCTCTGCTCAGCCAACTCCTGCGTCGGGCCGTACCTCTCGCAGCTCCACGTGAGGCGGGCAAAAAAAGTGCTTGGGCGTTCGATAGATGTGCATGCTCTGGTATACGGCGATGCCCTCGTGGGGCGCACCGTGGAAGGGGACCTTGCAAAACGTGGTGTGTTGATCCCTACGCATAATTATTTGCCAATCGGCGAATCTGCCATGCCGCTTCAAGGCGTTATTAGTGAGGCGAACTCCACAAACACAGTGGAGGCAACCTGCTTGGTGAAGGAGAATAGATGTCAGTATAGGATATGGGATAAAGACACCCCGCCGCAGCTTTCCGCACAGCTGCTACCATTTCATTTGGTAAGCTTTGGCAATTTACCCCTTTCAAAGACACTTTTCGATGTGGTTCACATTGATGTCAACTCGGATGAGACACTTGCTGTTATTTGCTTTCTCAGAGGCGTGCTCGCTTCAGTTTCGCGTCCGGCGCATATTTATTTGGCAGTGTACCCGTCAACGCTCCTTGAGCATCTCTTAATTTTGGTGGATGACCTTCGTGAGAAAGCGCACTACAATGTGTCTTTGACAGGCGGACGTTGCTTGGCCTCCTGTGCCACCTCTGCCGTGTCCTCCGTTGAACCCCTTCGCAAACTGCTACGAGTTGAGAGTCCACAGACTCTGTCAAGGCCAAATTTGCGTGGATATGCTATGGAACCTCTTTGTATGCTGTTTCTCTCGCAGGTGTTTGATTCCTTGCCGCAGCTGATGAAGCACGCCTCACCCATTGAGAAGGAGCGTGCCATGGCAACCTTTCTGTTTGAGTCTCAGGCGGGTAGTGGGCCCACTGTCGCCAAGCCAGATACCAGTGGGATGTGGGGTGTCTTGAACTACTTGCTGCTCGCGGTGCCTTTTGTCGTTGTAGGATTATTGATTTGGGGCCTTGTCAGAGGGCAGTATCGGCTGCGTGTCGTGAAGAAAACTGCGCGCTAGTTGCGCACCTTGCTAACTTAGTGGGTCGGCAAAGGAGGGAGGGAGTGAAACTTCTTCAACTCTCATCAACAGTTTTGCTGCGCTGGTGCGTTTTGTCATGTGGGCGTGCTAACGCTGTTATGGTGGCGCTGCTGATGGCAGTGGGCGCAGCAGGGAGTTGTTCCGCACCGCGCAGCATCACGAATACGTTTCTTGAGGTGAACTGCGGGCAGAGTGCCCGAAGCGGCAGATCGAATGCCTCACAGAACGGCTGGAAAAGATAACGAATAAAGGGTGCCGTGCGTGGATTGTTTTCCGCTCCGCTTGTGTGAGGTTGGGAGCTGCATGTGTGCACCTGCGATGCATGCCCGGAGGGCGTGCATCGTGTTTTCTCCTCAAAGACGCAGCTCCCTCCCCTCTGCGCCGTATCCCCCCTTCTACAAGTCGCTCTAGCGTTAGTTGTCACTTCCACTCGTGCAAATGATAGTCATTAGTTCTGATAAAAGCTGCAGCTCCCGTTCCTATCTGTGTCTCTGCAGACAACAGCGGGATATCGAAAAAAAAGGGGGGGTGGCGGCAATTTCATGGAAAACCGACCTCTGTGGTTGTTATTGTTGGTTTGGTTTTGTGGAAGTGGTTATTTTGTGTCGCTGGGACTGTACAAAGCTGGTCACCTTCGAATTTCCTTCTTCGCCTTTTCTCCTCTTTCCCTTCCCTTCCCTGCCCACTCGCACGAAAGGAAGGAGGAGCTATGCGGACGATTGACTGTGAATTCTCCCACTTCGCGGTGCACCCCGGCCACGGCCGCCGCTACGTGCCCTTCGCGTTCCTGTCGACGAAGCCCGTCCTGACGTTCGCCCGCCCCAAGTGCTTTGCCATGTACATGCGAAAGAAGAACCCGCGCTTTGTCCCGTGGACCCGCACCTACCGCCGCATCCACCGCAAGCTGAAGGTTGACCGCGTCGGTCGTCGCCGCGCCGCCCGTGCCGTGAAGACGGAGCGCGGCATCGTTGGCGCCGACCTTTCCTACATTCAGGAGGTGCGGGCCAAGACGAAGAAGGTTGACCGCTCCGCCAAGGGCAAGGCCGTCCGCGCGGAGATGGCTGAGCGCAAGGCTGCGAA